TGGTTGACTTTGACTTAAGTGCCATGTAAAGCATCTACATGTATTGTTACATAAATGCACCTGCAAATACATATGCACACATTCAAACAGAAAAATATATGGTTTTAAATAAATGTGTGTAAATACGAATGCTGCACAATTAGACTAGGGTTGGCTTCTGGGCCTTATTCTTGGGGACAGATGAAGCCCTTAACTTTTGGGACGGCATCTGCCCTGGGTCCTGAGTCCTCAGGCTGCATCAGGCTTGCTGTTACATCTCCTGAAATTGCCAGGACTCCTTTCTTTGTAGCACATACACAGTTGTCGTCTGAGTGCTGTCTGTGATGCTGGTTTTTCCAGGATGCAGGGAGCTGCTGGTGGTGGTGGGGGGGGCTGTGTCTCCTTGGTCAGCATTCACTAAGAAGGTGCTTAGTAAAGGGACAGGGGCAGGACCTCTCTGCTGATGTGTGTCCTTTCTGTGCCCTCTGACCATTAAGTGGGCACCAGGAGGACCATTTCTTTTAATGCCAACCAACAGGAGTAAAATCCCTCTGCGGTGTACATCTGTGAAACAGTGCACAAGGCCTGTAATTTCTAACAAGGTGACTTCAGACTGGGCTGCTGGCAGCCTGGGTAACTGGGAAATAGCATCTCTCCACATTACAGTCTGGATCTGGACTTCTGCCCACAGGCTCATGTTTTTATATCAATTGGTTACCAGCTGGTGGTGCTTTTTGGAGGAAGCCATAGGGCCTTTAAGAGTCAAGGCCTGACTGGGGGCTGGAGAGATGGCACAGTGGCTGAAAGCACTGACAGCTCTTCTAGAGGATGGGGTTCAATTCCCAGTGCCTACATGGCAGCTCAAACTGTCTGTAATTTCAAGACCAGACACAGACATATACGCATGCAAAACACCAGTACACAACAGGTGTGGTGACACACACTCAGGAGGCAGAGACAGATCTCTGTGAGTTTGAGGCCAGCCTGGTCTACAGAGCGAGTTCCAGGATAGCCAGGGCAGTTACATGGAGAAATCCTATCTCAGAACAAACAAACAAAAAGACACCAGTGTACATTAAATAAACTACTAAAAAAAAAAAGAGTCAGTGTTAAAAAAGAAGAATCAAGGTCTGGCTGCAAGAAGCAGGTCTCTTTAGAGTCAGAGTCTTGAGGGCAATAGCTAACCCTGCTTCCGGTTGGCCTCTATGATGTGACTGTAGCAGCATCTTGTCTGTGAACCTGGAACAGTGGCCACACCCCTTTGGAGAGAGGATGTGACCAGCTACCTCATGCTCAGGGTGACAGAGGCCAAGTGGCTCCCACACCATGCCTATGTGCCATGATGTGCTGCACCCTCTGAGCTTCTGCTAGGTGCCATGATGTGCTGCACCCTCTGAGCTTCTGCTAGGTGCCATGATGTGCTGCACCCTCTGAGCTTCTGCTAGGTGCCATGATGTGCTGCACCCTCTGAGCTTCTGCTAGGTGCCATGATGTGCTGCACCCTCTGAGCTTCTGCTAGGTGCCATGATGTGCTGCACCCTCTGAGCTTCTGCTAGGTGTCACAGCAAAGAGAAAAGTAACTCACACACCCTGTTTATATGAGGAGGGTCATGGCTGACCTGGTGGGGCTATGAGGACAGTTATGCCTACAGGGACTCTACAGCTTTGCCTGGGATCAATGGAAGGATCTGCTTGCATATAGGACAGTTAGCTGGAGTGGATGACCCTGGCATGGTCTCCCTTTTCCTTTTCTTGCAGACTTTTGGGAGAAAGACAGAAGCCTCAAAGAGTTGATGAGAAGTAAGGATATGACAACTGTGCTCAGTGACCGTTTGCACACAGATCATGTTCTCATCCTCCCCTGCCTTGTACATAGGGCTCAGCCCTGCAAGTTGCATTTCCAGGGCTTGAAGTATAAGTGTAATGGTCTGAGTTTGAATCCCTGGAGCCCACACAAAAATCCAGACATATAGCATGAGCGGTTCTAATCTCAGTGTTCCTATGAGGAAATAGGAGGCAGAGATGGGAGACTCTTTATAAACTTTGGGTACCCCGATGTATTCAGTGGCAAACAAAAACAAAATAATAAAATAAAACAACTTAAAGTCTCAAACAAGGAGAATGTCTTCTGGTCTCCACACTCACACTGTGACATATGTGTGTATCCCATCACATGCATCTCTCTCTCTGTCTCTCTGTCTCTGTCTGTCTGTCTGTCTGTCTTTCTCTGTCTCTCTCTCTCTGTCTCTCTCTCTCTCTCTCTCTCTCTCTCTACACACACACACACACACACACACACACACACACACACACACACGGACATTGAGCTCTGTCTTTAGAACAGCTGGTCCCACAACTCCCCGGATCTGCTAACACAGTCACCCCTGCCACTCTCTCCTGCTCCCGTCTTTGCTTTTCTCACGTCTGTCATTTTGAGGGATGTTGGGTAAAAGCACACCTGTATCTTACTGGGTTGTGGTGTAGCTCATGTAACAAGGAAGAATGCAGATAAGCGAGGTGTGACAAAAGCTAAATTTGGTCCAGGGGTGGATTTTTAACTTTTGTGTCACTATGACAAAATACCTGGGGGAAATAACATCACGAGGAAAAGGCTCTGTGTTGGCTCAGGGAGTCTGGAGAGTTTTGGGAAGGTGTGGTGGGACAGCTCTGCCCATGAGGTAGGAGCGAGAAGTGGCTGAGTGTTCTTGTGGTGGTAGACCAGGAAGCAGAATCAGCTAGCCTGGAACCAGGGGTGGGTACAATCAGAGGCTTGTGTCTAGTGACATTAGTACTCCCATCAGCCAGATTCCCCCCTCTGAAAGGCTCCACTGCCCTAAAAATATCTCTACCAGCCAGGGACCAAGGACTTAAAACAGCATTCTGTGGGGGACATTCTGGATTCAAACCCTAGCAAGCTAACAGGTAGCTCTTAGCAGAACTTCCTGAAGGCGTTCTGACTCTGTATGGCTGGAGCTGTTAGGAAGGGCTGTGAAAGAAAGTTAGAATGGACTAAGAGTCTTCTTGACTTTAGGTCTCTTGACAATAACATATTAGTGCCATTTGGGAATCTCTGAAAGAGACTGAAGTCCATAGCTTGTTCCACTTGGGAACCTGGCCCTGCACATGCAGCCAGAATGTTCCTGTGATCTGAGCCCCAAGCACACGTGGTCCAGACAGCTCTTCTCCCCTTCTCCTGCAGGCAGGAGTAGCTGTTTGATGCTTTGGAGCATGTAGAAGAGGAAGCAAAGGAAACCCTTGCACTAGGGACCTAAAGCTCATGCTGCAAAAACAAGAGTGTTTTTGTCCCAAGGGGCAAGTGTTCATGTGGTCACCTCCTAGTGAGCCTCCCAGAACGCTTCTGGCTCCAGCCTTCCCCAGGGACAGGGCCCTTCTTGATGTCTGGGGAGCTGACCTTTTCAAGAGGGATATTGGGGGATGTGGGGCTACAGCTGGGCCCCTGACCCTCTGCCCCCCTGGGTTTGCAGCCATTGCCGGAAGGACCACTTGCATTGGTGACTCAGCCTTTGGCCATGGGTGGCCGGGCTGCATTGGCTGGGCAGGGTCCTTGCAGCTGGCTGAGCCTGCTTCCGCCAGGCTGGGTCTTGCACTTTCTTCCTTCACCCTTGACTTTTAATTTTGGAAGTTTTCAAACCTATGGACAAGTTTGGAAGAATAGTGTTATTAGTACGCAGGAAGCCTGTGTGGAGAGTTGGTCTGTTGAAACTGTTTGCCACATTGTTGCAGCTGTCTCTTTTTGGTACTGCATTTGCAGGTGAGTTTGGAAACTGTGACTCTCATCTCCAAATGCTCCTCCCAAGAATAAGACTATCCCTTACAGTCACTACATCTCTTTTACACACAAAATCAGCAGCAGTTTCAAAACACCAGTTTTCAGTTCAGTCACATTTCCCAATTGTTCTAAAATAAGGTTTTTACATCTTTTGTTTAAAGTAAATAATTTGAACTCTGGGCTGGGAGCATGGCTCAGTGCTTGCCATGAAAGCATGACACCTGAGCTTGATCCCCTGTACCTATTTAATACTTTTTGCTTCTTTGAGGTCACTTGGCCTGGATACCCTGCCTCTCAGCATCCCCAGTTCATTATTCCCCAATGCGCAGCTCCAGAGCTATCTTGTAGAAGCCACACCCACCTCATCTCCATTCAAACTCAGCCTCATGGTCTTGATGCCTTTTGCTGGCATTAGCTTCTCAGTGCTTCCTGTCTAGTGCACAAGCTTTGCTTGTAGCTGGTAGAGCAAGCTCTGAGGAGTCAGGGGTTCAAATCCCAGGTCCTTCACACACTGTGTGACCTTGCTTGTGCTAATTCACCCGCAACTTCATTTCCCTCATTCCTAAGAGAAAGAAGGTTGTCAAGGACAAAGCTTCATGATGCTTCAGTATCCAATGATGCTTTCACAGAGTGCTTGGCAGGGTGAATGTGAGCTCTTGGCAGACACTGAGCACTGTGAGCAGAGGCCCTGTTAGCTAGATTGCCTTCCTAGACCCCACATGCAGCCCGACACAGAGCAGCTGGGCATGTCCTGGGGGTCATTTCCCCAAATGCCAACGGGTCCCGGCAGATGCCACAGACCTGGGGCTTGCCTGCATTTTGGCATTTCTTCATCACCCCCCTCAGTGTGGGGCAAGACTTGGCTGGGCCCACAGCCAGCAATAAAGCGGATGCTAATCATATCATTATATGCTGAATAATTAACTGTCATTTAAATATTCATATGTTGTTGGGGGCAAGGCCTTTTATCAGTATCTAGGGACGTGTCAGCAGAGGAAAGAGATGGATGTCACCAAGGCTGACTTTGCCTGTGAAGGGCGACCTGGGGTCCAGGGAGGGCCATTGCAGTGGCCACCAGACAGTCAGCTAATATATAACTGCAATATCCTCATGTGATAAACGACAACTTCATAAATGCTTGATGCATATGAGCAAGCCTAAAACAATATTGGAAGCATTAATTTCATTTGACTAATGCTTATCTATATTTTATTCTGTTCTATCTTTAAAGAAGCCCCTCTTTCCTTCAGGGGAAGGGCAGTAGAGCCGAGGACTGCTGATGGGCCAGAGCAGCCCAGGGTGACACTTCCTGCTAGTTCTGCCTTCGGGATGATGTGGCTTGGGACATCTGTCACGGACTGGCTCTGAATGTTGGAGGCCTGCCTGTGAGTTTGCTTCTAGCCCTGTGGGATAACCCTATGGGATGATTCAGCCTCTCTGGTGGTATTAGGGTATCTCAGCTCTGGCCAGGAGGAACAAAGCTGTGAAGATGCCCACTTGCTGGCAGGGATGAACCAAGGGAGACACCCTGAGGACAGAAGGTGGGGGCTGATATGAAGTGACTGCTCTATGTTGGGGTGTGGTGGGGAAGGGGGCAGGAGAAGAGAAAGGGAGTGGAGGGAGGATGAAGATACAAGAGAGCCTGGAGGGAGAGAATGGCACTTAAAGGTCTGATGAGGGGTGGGCTGGCTGTCCTAGGGGAAAACAGCTTGGTAGGGGCTTCATAACAAGGGTTTTAGAATTGAGTCATGGGTTGGGCTCTAGCTGTGCCTTTAACTAGCTGTGTGACTTTAGAATCTCCTTTTTTCTTTTCTCTCTCTCTCTCTCTCTCTCTCTCTTTTTTTTTTTTTTTTTTTTTTTTTTTGGTTTCTCTGTAGCTTTGGAGCCTGTCCTGGAACTTGCTCTATAGACCAGGCTGGTCTTGAACTCACAGAGATCCACCTGTCTCTGCCTCCCAAGCGCTAGGATTAAAGGTGTGTGCCACCACTGCCTGGCTTAGAACCTTCTTTTTTCACTCCTCAGTTTCCACTTGTAAAATGGGAACCAGTGTTTAGTGAATGGGGATAGGTTCATTGTCTATTCAGTGTGAATTCTAAGAGGGACCTAAAACTTGGCAGCTTTCAATTATATGTTTCTCACCACATCAGTGGGTTGATGGCTTCTCTGGGTCCTCTTCTGAGGGTCTCACATAGCTTCATCAAGGGTCAGCTGGGATCATCCATCAGGAGGCCCAAATGGTGGTGAGTGGTAGTGATAGTGGTGGTGATGGCAGTGGTAATGGTAGTGGTGATGGTGGTGGTGGTGGTGGTGATGGTGATGGTGGTGGTGGTGATGGTGGTGGTGGTGGTGATGGTGGTGGTGGTGGTGATGGTGATGGTGGTGGTGATGGTGGTGGTGATGGTGGTGGTGGTGATGGTGATGGTGGTGGTGGTGGTGGTGATGGTGGTGGTGGTAGTGGTGATGGTGGTGGTGGTGGTGGTGATGGTGGTGGTGGTGGTGATGGTGATGGTGGTGGTGGTGATGGTGGTGGTGGTGGTGGTGATGGTGGTGGTGGTGATGGTGATGGTGGTGGTGGTGATGGTGGTGGTGGTGATGGTGGTGGTGGTGATGGTGATGGTGGTGGTGATGGTGGTGGTGGTGATGGTGATGGTGGTGGTGGTGATGGTGATGGTGGTGGTGATGGTGGTGGTGGTGATGGTGATGGTGATGGTGGTGGTGGTGGTGGTGGTAGTGGTGATGGTGGTGGTGGTGGTGGTGGTGGTGGTGGTGGTGGTAGTGATGGTGGTGGTGGTGGTGGTGGTGATGATGGAGATGGCAGTGGTGATGGTGATGGTGGTGGTGGTGGTGGTGGTGGTAGTGATGGTGGTGGTGGTGATGGTGATGGTGATGGTGGTGGTGATGGTGATGGTGATGGTGGTGGTGATGATGGTGGTGATGGCAGTGGCGGTGTCTGCTTTCAAGAACTCTCTACAGTCAGCTGACTTTTGTTTCCTTTTAGGGCCTCACTCTTGCTGCCTGTCTGCTGAGGAGACCCTCAACTCTTGAGTGATCTATAGTCACTGGTCTGGGGATTTCTCCAGCATGGCTGCTACCTACATCAAGCAAGAACCTGTATCTAAGGCACAGCTTACACAGTATAGACTAACCAGGGAGCATGGAGGGACATTGTCACCTTTCCAGGTCTGTTAGAGGTAAGTGACAGATTCCACCCACAAATATGTGAGGGACTAGTCCTAGGGTATGAATACCAGGGGGCTGGGGTTGTTGGAGTGACCCTCAAGTCTTTCCATCATATTTAACACTGTTGGCAGTAACTGCTCAGTACCTGTTACTCACTGTCTCTGTGTTTTGTGAACTTTCTCATCTAACCTACAGAACAACCCAGGATGAGCAGTGACTACCGTCGCTGTACCAATGACGGAATGTGGAGCTCAAGGAGCCCCCACCCTGACCAGAGGGAGTCAGGGGCACTTTGGACTGGGTCATAGCCACCACGTGATCCAACACTGAGTTGCTGGTGAAGATAAACCACAGAAGATGCTCAGGACACGTCCTGGTCCAGGTCTGATCACTAACAACCCCAATAACCCAGCTGGGACTTGGCTTCCTCTGGCAGCCCCATCTATCTGTACCCTGTACCCACAGGAAGGCTGCCTTTATGCCCCTGAATGCTCATGTGACTTCATGTGGGTACACGTAACTGAAGAGCACTTGGGGCAAAATGAGGACCCCTGCGGATGACACGGTGTTGTTTTCTTTACCCAAAACACTTGTTCATTGGTGCCTCTGACCTCAGCTTCAGTATAACCCCTTTGTGGCTACAGGGATAGCTTACCATAGACCTTCGGCACATATCTATCATCTTGCAATCTGAGGGTCAGAAGTTGGAGATAGCTTTCACTACACTAAACTCAGTCTAGGGTGGCTCTGTTTCCTGCTGTCCCAGTTTCCTTGGCTCTGGGCCCCTTCCTATATCTCTGTAGCCAGCCATTGCTGATCACATCTGTTTCATGGGGGCATTGTTTGGCCCCTTCAGGACACCTGGTAACACTGAACCATACAGGTGACTCAGGAAACCTCTCTGTTGTAAAGTCAGCTGGTTAGTAACTAGCTATACTCACAGCCCTAATTTCCCATGGGTCAAGTGAAATAGCAGGTTTTCAGTCTCCAGGATTAGGACTCTAGCTAGCATCATGGGCAGTTCTACTGCCCGTTAACTACCAGGGGCTTGTGAGGTGGATGCTATGTCTCCACGTCATCCTTTACTTCCCTCTTCACCACCTTGGCTCTCTCCCGAGCGTCTGGAGTTCACACTAGAGCCAAGCAAAATGTAAATTTGGTCTCTGAATATGAGATAATGAAAAATTATAACATGTGGAAAAGAAAGAAAATGGAAGGTGAGGTTGTAGGCATTTTGGGCAGATTGGGATGGGACAGGTGTTCTGGCACTCGGGAGCCACAGAATACTGAGTGTTACACAGCTCAGATGGAAAGGTATCCTGGAGCTCGGGAGCCAAGGACCACCATAGGTTGCAGTAAGCTTAGCAGCTTACAGCCTTGCCTCAGGGAAAGGCTTCCCCAGTGTATCAGGTCTGCTCTGGCAGGAGAGGGTCTTCCAACTGGTGATGTTTGCCCAGTGTAGCAGTTTTTCTCCGGCAGGAGGTTTCCTGGGCAAAGTTGCTACAGTTCAGCTCTGCTCCCAGAGAGTGGAGAGTGGAGTATAATAACTCCGTTCTGCTAAGGGAAGGTTTCCCCCGCCAAAAGTGTTACAGCCCTGCTCGCTCTGCTCTGCCCAGGGTCGCCTCTGCTCCGCTGCCTCCACAAAAGAAGATCTTCACCCAAAGCTCATCGAAGGGGTTTATTGGAAGGAAGCAGCTGGACCAGCCAAGCTGAACATACACAGGGTTTATATAGGGATTCTTGGGGGTGGGGGAAGTTTTTCCAGGGTAGGGATTGGTCCGATTTCAATGCTGAGCTCAGATTGGCTAGAGCTCCTACCCAAGGATTGGTTAGTTTTCTGCACAGGATTAGGGACAGATTTGGCTCTGGATTCAGGGACAAAGTGTGTTTCTTTCTCTGGTCCTTTTTAGCCTTTGGCTTCAATTTTAGGGCCAGGGTGCATTTCTTTCACTGACTCTGATTCCAGGAAAAAAGTGTGTTTCTTTGGCACTGGTTTCAGGGCCAGGGTACATTTCTTTGATTCTGGTTGCAAGGCCAAAGTGTGTTTCTTTGACTGGTCCCTTTTCCCTACAGAGGGAGGGGAGGGCAAAAAAGGAAAGGGAAAGGAAGGGGACGGGAGGACAAGATAAGGGAGTGTAGGCATTTGTTACATTTATACATTTTAAAACTCTGTGCTGACCCATAGACTGCCAGTTTTTTCCTGGGGTTCCTATTAGACCAAGCTCCCTACCACTCAATGTGAGCCAAAGTTGGGGCTACAGAGATATCAGTCAGCACTTACCATTGGTCATTACTGGGCACACTGAGCAGGTCTTCTGTGGGATGGAGTGGCCAAAACTGGAGCCTGTATCCAATGTCCCTTAGCAGGATGTCTTGTGCAATACACAACCTACACATGGTCTGTGGCTCTGTCCTGCTGTCTTATACAGCATGTGACACAAAGCACAAATGTGGGCAGCGTGCTTGTTGAATGTGTAATTGAATGAAACCCAATGCCTTTCATTCACTCTGCACTCTGCTCAGGGATCTGTGACCTCCTTCAGAGTGCTTGACTCTTCATAACAGGCTCTAGCCACAGGCACAGTGGATACTGTATGCGTGTGTGTGAGCATCAATTACCAGCTTCATTGACCTGGAACCCAGAGTGGGAGCCTGTGCAGGAAGTGACCATGGCCTGGGCTGGAAAGGCCAGGCCAGGGAGCTGAACCATGGGGCTTCTGGCCTGCCCTTGCAGCTGCCCCAGCTGCTTCCTTCCCACTCTCTCCCCTCACCCCTACCCCCACACATTCGAGATTCCCGGGAGGTCGAGCCTGGTGTAATTACAGGGTATCTGCTGCCTCCCTATAAATCTAATAGACTTTTTGGCCTTGTCAGATTAAAACTTACCTATCAACCCGCCGCAGTCCTCTAGATCTCCCTAAATCTGTACTTGGGAGAGAATTTATGGCCAGGAATTGCATTTTGCAAAATGATTAAAGTTGCCAAACAGCCATAAAAAGTTGCAGGAGGAGATATGGTTTTTTTGAAAGTCTGCTTAATTTATAAGGGGTGGAAGGTTTATTGTCATTTAGAGTCCACAGCAAGGCAGCGATGGAGCGTTTGGCGGCAGCTGTGCACAGCTGCTCTTGCTTTATGCCTTTTACATGTTTTTAAATTGCCCTGTTTGAATTGGGGCTCCTGCAGTCGCAGAAGCAGCCAGGTTTGCAGAAGGGTGGCTCCCCCTGCCCTCTGACGCTGGCCTCTCTTGCCCTACTCCTTAAATTACTCAAGGCTCACTTTCCAGAAATGCTCCTGGATGATCCGGTTTCATGATGACCATTCCATGCCTCCCTCTGTCAGCATCAGTCAGCCCCTGTGAAACACCAGCAAACACTCACATGTGCGAAGCTTTTAAGTTTATAGGCGGTTTCGTGTGTCGTGTCTTAGCACTTGTCACCCTGGATTAAATGATTAAATAAGATCAAACACTCAAGGCTCTAAATGCCTGGTGTTACCTCTTGAGCTAATAAATAGAATTAGGGCTCCCATTTATTGACCACACGCGAGACACCAGAGCCTCGGCTTCATACTCCTAGCACATTAATTCACAGAATCTTGGCTGCCACGGTGGGAGACAGCTGTCAGTTCCACCTGGGTTTTGGGAAGTGTGGGGAACTTAAGGCCCAGGTCAGGCAGTCAATGCTCTGTGCACATTAACTCCTATCAGTAATGTCTTTAGGGCCATCGTCTCACTTGTCTGTCTCGCAGGCTGGCACAGAACAGACCCTGGGTGGATGCTGCTGAGCATGAGCCTGCATGAACTGAGATGTCCCAATTGCTGTTTCTTATTCCCCCACTCCCCTTACAGTCACCAGACCCTGTGTCATCTGAAGTCTAACATAGCACCTAGCCTGGTGTTTGTCATATCATAGTTCTTTGTTCATTGGAAAGATGCCTGAATACACTCAATTCCTGTGGTCCTCTGAGCACGGTTTTAGGAATCCCATCCTGCAGGAGAGAGGAGGCTGAGGGTGTATGACACCTGTTCAAATCACAGTCACCATGTCAGAGCCAGGATTTTGGATTCCAAGTCCCATGTTGTGTTTTGCTGTTTTGTTTTCTCACCAGCGCCCACCTAACCACCTGCCAGGCATTTGGGGGCGATTCAGAAGTTTTTCTTCTTCATCACCATCCTGTCTAGTATTTATTAAATATCCATCACTCACCAGCTGCATAGACTCACAAGGAAACCTCATAACATCCTTGTGCGGTATACATTATTTTCCCTATTTATGGGTGTAGAAACAGATAGAAGGAAGTAGTACTGTGATTGACTGAGCTGATTCCATAAACAAGGGTCAGCATGACCATGATAAAGGTTGATGAAGGTTGATCTGCAAACCCAGCTTGGCAAGGGGTGGCAGGAGGCTTAAGAGAAGCTTCTAGAAGACTATTTCCCATCTGGCCCTTGAGGACAGAGTGGAGCTTTGTCAGATGATAAGAATTGTTTTCTAGACAAGCAAGAGCAGAATTGCCTGGGGTGTGAACATTTTACCCTGACCTGGGTTGTCCTGAATTCCTTCTGGCTTCAGTCTTAAACTTGTCCTTCCCTTCAATGTCAAGATGATTAAGAGGAGGGTCTGTAGGCTGCTATGTCCAGCTGATCCCTAAGGTTTCTATCAGCCACACCCACATTTTCTCCTCTTTTTCCCATTAGCCTCCTGCCAGCACCATGGAGTAAAGAGCAGTTTGGCACCGGGCAGTGGTGGCGCACACCTTTAATCCCAGCACTCGGGAGGCAGAGGCAGGAACTCTGTGAGTTCCAGGCTGGGCTGGACCAACCCTGTTGCGTAAAACCAAGAAAAAAAAAAGAAAGAAAAAAAAAGTAAAAAGAAAAAAGAAAAAAAAGAGCAGTTTGGCACCCCTGGCCCTCCATCCTTACTGTACATGCCTGTCTTCCTGCTCACAGACAGGCTTGGCAGGCAAAGCTGCCTCCTCTTCAGTTTTCCCTGTTTCTCAGACATCCCAGACACCCAAAGTTATCTCCCAGCTCGTCTCCGACTCTTGTATTCATTCTTCCACTGGTAAATTTGTTGATTCATTCCACAAATATTTTATGAGCACTCGGCATCTCCTGGGTGCTCTTCTGAGGGGCCGGGAAACAGCACTGACCCCAGCTGATCCGTCTGTTGTCTTCATGGAGGTTACCACAACCGAATGGATAGACGTGGCAATTTTAGAGAGTGACACATGCCTTGATGCCTTGGTTTGGCTTCTTTGTTTCAAGAGGGACATCTGCAGGATTTGTGTATGGTGAAGTTAATCAAAGGAACATCTCGAGGAAGAGTGTCCCATACCCAGTGAACAAGAAGTGCAAAGGCCCTGGTGTTAGAGTGAACTTTATCAACTCCAGGACCAGCTTGAGGCTGGGGCCTAGTGGTGAGTAGGGATCCAACATACAGGGATCACGGCCAGGCTTTAGATTTCCCATAAGCATAATAGCAGCTCTTAGGGGCTTAGGTCTGGGGAGGACTCTGACTTGATTTATATCTGTCTCTCTTCCTTTTGTACTGAGAACAGAGAGATCATCCAGAGCTCTGGGGCCGGGGATGACTTAGTTACTGAAATGCCCCCACCCCATGCAAGCATGAAGACCAGAGTGCTCTCAATCAAGCTGGGCGTGGTGCTGTGAGCTTATAATCCTAGAGCTGAGAAGACAGACAGGAGGCTTCTTGGGACTAGCTGACTAGTCAGTCTGGCCAAATAAGTGAGTTCTGGGTTCATGACAACACTGTCTCAAAGGAGGTTGATGGTATTCTTGAGGAAGACACTCAAGGTGGTCTCTCATTTCCCATGCATCTGTGTGTGGGTGCGTACACACACACACACACACACACACACACACACACACACACACACTCACACACACACAGAAAAAATGTGCCAGTCTGACACCACAGTCTTCTCTAGCACCTTCTCACACTTGCATATCTCTTTCCAGGAATGCCTTTACCCATACTTTTTGCAAAGTTCTTGTTCCCTCCTCAGGACCCAGCTCCTTCTAGGGAGCCCTTCATATTTCCAATGGCCCGATAAATTCACATTCTTACTCTCATTACCAATTCCAACCATGGGCACACATAGTGTCTGGCCCTTCCCACCAGGAGTCCTTCCAACACCAAGATCTCCCTCTGGTGTGTCTTGGAGAGTACAGGTCTTTCCGAGCCTGGTCTGGAGGTGTGGCCTGCCAGACGCTTTCTGGGTTGATGCGACTTGTTTGAGCATCTGGATCATTGACTGAAGCACCATGTTAGCAAGTGCCTTTTGAACAAACAAGATTAGAAGGGATGGTCCAG